TTTATTTTTTTGTGGGGGGTTTGTTACCCACCCTGGCGGGCCACACGGGAGCCAAATGTGGCCTGCGGGCCTTCAGTTTGACACATGTGCTCTGAACCAACACATAATTCTTTGCAAACCACTGACCATTTACAAAGGTTGATTTGTTTGATGGACACCACGTTCAACCAATCATTGTTGTTTCTCCCAGAGCTCAAGTGTATCAGTTGACTGCCTGAGACCTGAGCAGCAGCAGGGCAGTTCGTCTGATAACTCTTTGGTTTTCTGCTCGCAGATGTTCAGCACTGACGTTTCGCAGCCACGCTGCTCCTGGACGAGACTGATGGACACGACGGGAACGACTCCTTCACCCCGAAACAAACACTCCTGCTGGGTGTACAGAGACAGGTCGGTTCTGTTAGCGGGGCTTTTAAAAACACAGAGGTTGACCCACAAGCTGCTGATGAACTCCAAAGGATGATTCAATCCAACTATTATTATTGCAGATTAATCTACTTTGGTGGTTATGGATGCAAAACRATAATGGAGGTACGAAACCTGTCGTCGTCCAGCTTCATCATGGATGACATGTCCTGGGTAAAAACTAATCTAATAAATTACTCCCCGATTTATTACTTCAGCCTTTTTAGAGTTTTTTTTATGGTACATTTAGTCTAATTTACTTTTTTTCTTTTTTCAAGACAACAATTGGAGAAACTTTATTTCGATGCTGGGGGTGGAACAACGAGGTCCATGTTTTCGATACTCAGTCCTCCACGTGGAGCAAACCTGAGACTCAGGTGAGTAAAACAGGTTTTGGTTTTAACATCGTGGCTGATCTGCAGGTTCAGTTGCAACAAAGTGTTGTTGTTCTTTTCCTCCAGGGTCCTGCTCCCGCTCCCAGAGGCTGCCATGCCAGCGCCCTGCTGGGGAACAAAGGTTACGTCAGCGGCGGGGTGGTGAGTTCGCCCTTCATCTCTAAACGATGGAACAGCCTTCAGCTCCAAAGCGTGCGATGGTCCTCCCGCCTTGTTTTAAAGGGAAACGTTCGTGCGGCGATGTTTACGATGGCGCTGTATAAAACGGGGCTTCCTCCTTCGTGGGGACAGTTTGAGTTCGGCCCTTTCCTGTTTCAGCAGCTCTTTCCTGTTGAGATCGTGACGGCGCCTCWGTCCACAAAGACACATTCTGTGATGAATGTTTTGACCTGGACTGTCCCGCACAGTCTGGACTTCACCTCTTCACCTCTAACCTCTTGGTCACACATGGATCTCTCTAAAGTTCCTGTTTAACAAAACTGCTAAACCTGGAGGGTTAGTAGTGTTTCTTGAAGGAACCCGTTCACCCATACAGCAAATTACAAAGCATGACCCTTGAATACRTGTCCGGCTACATTTCGCTCAGAGCCACTTTTAACAGTGGCGGGCAGCGCTAATCCAAAAATTAGCTCTGCAATTTCTAAAGCGCTTATGAAAATATTTAGGTCCGCAACTTCACAAGTGCTTATGCCATAGAAATACTAGCGGAAGCTAATTGTAAAGCGCAAGTTCAATTTGACACTTACTAGCTGACAATTCATGTACAACATATGCACAACACTGCCAACTAGTGGTGTATGAACTCTTTTACAACTTAATTCTACAACCGCCGATTGCTGGGGATGTGAGTTCCTGAAACAGACCTTTAGCTCCTGGTGTAAAAATTAAAAAGTTGTTGAGGATTGCTAGTTCAGCTGATTCTTTGTCTTTTTCTTTTGTTTGTTGTAGATTTTTCATTAAAAAAGCATCAATAAAGTAATTTTAAAACTGTTTATTGGAAAACTGAAGCGACGCATTCTGGGTACATGACGGATTTGATTTGTGATGGGGGAAACGAAAGCACGGGGAACAGGAAACTATCTTCACTTCAAAATAAGAGCTTGGATTTTAAAGTTTTCCATGTAGTTGCTCCAGTTGACCCCTAGATGTCTGTCTTAGTCAGCATAACATCTTTAAATAATTTCTGAGTCTCTAACCCGTTGGCCGATTGCTTCGACCAATTACGTCAAGTATTGAGCTCCAGCGTTTAAACTTTTTATTTTTTAAAAGGAGCTCAGATTGTAAAGTAAAATAAATCAATACATACAAAATTTTAGTGTGGATTACAAATGTTAACTGTTTTTGCTAATGCCTTCCTGCTACGTAAGCAGACACAAAGCATTGTGGGAAATCAGAACCGTGACCCAAAGCAACAATCAGCAAAGATGTATATCTTACCAATAAGTGTTTATCTGGGAGGAGTGCTGTTGGATAGATCATGTGTGTTGTGATTCATTGACAGTCATACCTTCTGCTGTTCAAGATAATGATGACTGGTAGATAATTAGTTACTAACGGTAGTGCATTTTAACATTGGAATATGCAAATCCGCTTATGAATTATAAAAATTAGTAAAACCGCTAAAGCACAAACGAAATATTTAGGTCCGCAATTAACAGATTTGTGCTTTAGTGGGCTGGTGCCCACTACTGCACCTTAATGCCTGCTAATGTCAGTTAGCTTTGTTGGCAATAGTCTTAGCTGTAGATTCATGTCCAGTTATTACTTTCTGCAAGTTTTATTAAAATTCCTGCAGTGCTTTTCGACACATTTTGTTGATGATCCAGATAATTAGATGTTGGAGCAGGGTTATCTGTTGCTCCAGTTTGCTCCTTGCATTCATTGTTTCCTTCTGTTTGCAGGAAACTGCAAAGCTCGACATTTTCTGCTTGGACTTTGAGAGCTGGACTTGGACTCAATTGTAAAGATTCTGTTCCGATTTAGCACGTCCTTTTTTTTTTCAGTTATTTTTACAAAAACCTGCGTTCTTCCTCAGTGACCTCTGCCCCTCCTGTGCCCCTCTGGGCCGCTCCTTGCACACAATGACCTCCACATCGSATGGAAACCTCTTCGTTTATGGCGGCCTCGGAATCGACGGAAACACTTTGAGTGAGTTTTCATCCCCACTGAGATGATTAATTATCTGTAGGGCTTCTGCTGAATATGWAATCTTGTTTGGATATCGAGCCTTTCTTGGTCTGATAAACCATTGAACAGGATTCCTGTTATGTTTTTTTTTAGCGGATGCCTGGCAGTTTAACACACACAGACGAGAGTGGACGGAGGTAAAACACCCTCACAAAGACAAACCCAGGTACATTTAGTATGTTTCTACGACTGTAAACAGTTTAGAGATTTTAGAGTAGGGTTCTGTGAACAATAGATACAGTATCTTACCTGCTGTAGATGGCAGAACTCTATTCTGAGCTTCACTCAGATTTAATTTTTTTAGGTCAAAGCATTTAATGTAACTTTTTAAAAAAAACATGATTTCAGGATCTGTTTCTCTTTGTGAACCTGTCAAAAGCTTAATGAAGCTGCTTTTATAAGTTTTTGATATATTTTTTTCCATAAGGGCTTGTCACACTGCTTGCCTGGGGAAAGATGACGATATTGTTGTGTTTGGGGGAACCAGCCAACTCTGCATTCGCATGGACACGGTATGTGACTTTAAAAACTCTGAACACTTTTTATTAGGGGTTTTAGAAAATATCGACACACTGAATTATTGTGATTTTCACTTTCTGATATTAACAAAATCACTATTKGTTTTTAACTAAGGCTTTAAGTGTGAACGTTCATGACAGCGATTCATTTTTGTGTTGTATTTTAGCCTCTGACAGTCCTGACTGAGCTCTTTGGTTGTTGTAAGAACAAATGTGAAAGAAAACTGCTGTTTTTGTTAAGTGTTCTTCTGATTGCATAAAAATAAATTGAATTAATAAGATTTTATGTTGTGCTCTTTGTCTTAGCATTTTAAAACTAGAATCTTTTGGAGAAAAATATAGCAGTATATCTCCTTGATTACAGTATTGCAATATATCGTATTGTGACCCGTGTATCGTACAAATGCACAGCCCTATTTTTTTTATACCGTGGTCTTTAAGACCAAAATGTTTCTCTATTTGTCTTTGCATCTTTTGAGGCTGCAGCCAAATGGGTTCATTTTAAAGCTCAGTGAGTGAATCAGGAATAGGCTGTGGCTGAAACATTTAAAACAGTTCTTTAAGTGGTTTAAGGCTTCCGACTATGAAGGAAACTGGTAAATACTTCACGTGAGGTAATGGGACAATCCATCTTAGGAATTTGTTTCAATTTCAGTTTGACATTTGAATGTCTTTGCACATTTATTTTTGCTCTTAAAGCTCTCAACTTTTCATTATTTGAGCTGAACAACGAAGACTTTTAAAAACACCAGTAGATGATGGAAGTCTTGAATGTGCCACGAGTGTCAATAATTTCATCACTGGTTTTAGAGTTTGAGATTTGTGGTARCTGCGATAAAACAAGAAACGATAAAAGGAAAAAAAATAACGACTAAAAAAAAACAACCCAAATTATTTTTTGTCTRTGTTGATCACGTCGGGGTCACCAACTAAGTACTCAGACTTGACAAAGTTAACATTACAGCACTGTGGTCCATTCACTCAGAACCTCTGACTATAAAGACCTGAGCAACACAGCCCAGAGCCATGTGTCACAATGAATTTACATATTGGAGACGACAAACCTYCAGGAATGATATTATGGTAAATAAGTTCCCATTTCTATCAAGTGACTTGACTCTTAGACATAAGTTCCTGCAGTGCTATGATACTGTATAAAAACATTACATGCATGTGTGTATTGTTTTCTGAAAGGCAAGTGTTAAAAAGACTTATTGGTTCAAGTCAACAGTTACAATCAATCACATTTGAAATTCAGTTAATCGATTACAAAAKATCAGTTGACGTTAGTTTAATATTTTTTCCCTCGACTGTGTTTCAGGTGTCAGTTCTGAGGTCTCCGTCGCCATWTCACTGCAGGGATGTTTTAATATTTCAGACCCGGCCGTACTCTCTCTACAGGTATGACGTAGTTAATCAGATTATCTGCATAGCAGCTGGGAGCTCGAGCTTCTTGTTCCGAACCGCTCACGTTTCTGTCTGCTGAGGGTTAGCAGGAAGCAGAGAGACGTTTAAACTGTTTATGCTCTGGCTGAGCCACATGTGCTGGTTCACTTAYAGCTGAAGGCTTGGTGTTATGCTAATGAGCTTACTGTATTTGAATAGCTGCAGGCTGTGTGTGACGTGTTTGGGAAACTTGATTTAAGAGATTATTGTGAGGTTTTTATGCCCTGAGGAGGCAACATTTTCTAGATTTTTTTTCTTTTCTATTTACCAACAATTTAAATGATTCATACTCTATGATTAATACAGGACAAATGATAAAAACGTTTGAAACTTAAATCCTTGAAATGCAGGATTTTTGTAAGCCTTGCATTAATCAGGTTTAGGGAACRCTTATGTTGTGACATTTTACTCTGTATTAAAGTTCTTAACATTAACATTAATTCAGTAGAAATTGTCAGAATTTCTATTAACATTTTAGTGAATTTGACCTTTGGATCAAATGTCAGGTTTCAGCCCATTTTAGTTTGAGTTTAGATTGAAGTGAGAGCTTTCAGAGGAATGTGAAATCCTTGTTTAGCCTCATGTTTGTAGATCTCTCACATCAGTTCATAAATTCTTTTTTAATTCTAGTTTTGTCATTAAAAACAAGAATATTGGAAGTAAACTTCAGAGACTCAGTGAGGCTTGTAATATCAGACCAAAAATGCCTTTTTTTTTTCTCTTCACCATATGTGATTTTTTTTTTTTTGAGTTGAGCTGTTTTTCTTTTTCAGACTGTGTGAGGATTTCATCGGCAGAAACTCTGAGCTCTTCAGGCTGCAGCTCAACTGGCTTCCATCAAAACTCTGCGATAAAATCAGCAAAAGGGCTGAGTTTTTCTCCTCCATGAAGCCGGTTCTTACAGCCTGAAGGAATGTTTTTACAGCAACAAGAACCTGAGCCAGTTCTGCTTGTTTTTTSTATTTGTGCTCAAATATCTTAAAAAAAAAAGTTGGTGCTATGCTTACATTATTTTAACTTCAAAATTTGTAAATAAAGTTTTGTCATTTAAAAAAGACTCTGTTTAGATTAAGTTTTAGTATGATGTGAATTCTGTTTTGAATAAAGCTGATATTTCATATTTCTGTGGTTTTATTTCTTTGCTTTAATTGGAATCATCACCTTATAAAGTTGAAACAAGCAGATAAACTAAAATGTACAAAATTGCTTCTAARAACCAAAAGTAGCAAAACAGCAGCTAAAACCCAAGATTATTCAAACTGTAGCTGACTAATGAAATAAATACAATTTAGGCTAAGATGGGGGAAATTACTAAAATTGGCTATAGCTTGAAGCTAAAATTAGCAATATTATGGCTAAAAGTTAAACGAGCTAAAACGTAATAGTAGCAAAGCTTAATTAAATTGTCGTAAGGAAATTAACATTAAAAGGTAAATGTCTGATTAAACATCAACTGCTGAAAATGGAGAAAAATAAATGTTGTTTTTCTCTCTTCCTCACTGAATAAACTTCTYCGTTAGACTTCATGTAAATCAGTCTCTAATTTTTCCTAAACCCATAAAGACAAAAGCACAAATTTAAAACAAAACCTGCTGGAAACCTTCAGTTATTTGGCATTTTTAATTTGTAAMAGATCATTTGGATCCAATGAACAGGAAGTGGACATTTTGGCCGTTTTCCTTTTGTCTCAAACTGGTCGGACGTAGTTGGCCGGGAGCATGCCCCGCTTCCCMGTGCGCTGGTTGCACCCGAACACCCATCCCTCGTCGATCTGCTCCACGTCTAAGATCACATCGCCTTCCTGCAGAGAGACTTCGTCTGCTTCGGCTGCCGTGTAGCTGTACAGAGCCTGGAAGTGCCTCTGGAGGAGAGGAAACGAGAGGAGCTCACGGGTAGAACGCGGGAGCAGGAATAATTTGCATTAAAGGCAGAACACTGATGCAACAAAACACAGCCTGTAGATACTAAAATAACACAATAGTACACTGAATTTTGATTTTTTAGCTCACACCTGACCACTTTTAGTGCATTTTGTTCCTATTTAAAGGGGACATATCATGCAAAATCCACTTTTTTAGCAATTAAATACATTTTGTTGTACTTGGAGTCTCCAAGAATGCAGAAAAGTTTAATTTAGTTTCTCCTGCAACCTGTTCAGTTTTCTCTGTTCTGTTTTCTGAACTATTATGTCACCAACTTCAATTGTGTGGTCTTCATTYTCTTCAGGCTCTGGGTCAGACTCTGGCTCCAACATGTAAGGCTGGATGGACAAGTCTTCCCTTGTYCACATCTTTGAATTAAATTGTAAATAAAAGGTCTCTGCGCAGCTATATAGTCGTAAACCCCTCTATCAAACTAGAACTGGAAGCTGGGAGGGGTCTGAAGGGCTTCGTTTGGATTTAAAGAGACAGCCTCAAAACGAGTTGATCTGATGCATGCCTCAGAAAATAGGTAAAGAGGTGCTTGTGGACCCCGCAACTGAAAGATTTAAATGTGACAAAAAAAAAATTAAAAGCATCATATGTCTTCTTTAACTCTGACCTTTTGAAACATTCAGGCTCCTAAACCCAAAGGAGGAATTATCTTTGTGTCGACTCAAAATGGACAATTACAGCTGCGGTCATCTTGAATCCGGCAGCAGAGTACATCCCATAAATTAATTTCCCATCCACTCATTGGTGCTGAGGTATTTGTGTAATGACCCTACCCCTCCAGCAGTCGGAGCCACAGCTGCAGGGCGAGTTTGTCCTGCAGGCTGACTGAACCTCTCAGGGTTCGACGCTTCTCCTTCTGCACACACACACACACACACACACACACACACACACACACATAAATTTAAAAGTCAAAGTCAGCTGGAGGACCGGAGTGGAACCTAGAGGGTATATATTACATATATATTTCACCTTGTCTGTTTTCAGGAGGAGGGGCGTCGCTTCGAACCTTGCTCTTCTCGAACTCTTCGTGGTACTTTATCTGCACAGACATGAAGTTTAAATCCACAGGAGGGCTCTGAGTTCTTACGTTCAGCTGTGTAAACCCCGAGGAAACCGTGTCTTTAAACCTCAGGAGGAGTAAACGGCAACAGGATGATGTAGGAAAGAAAGAAAACAAGATTTTGCCCTYCTGACACACAGATCATTACCCATCATTCCTTTCTTCAACCAGCGCTCTCRTGAGAGAAAAAGAAAATGTGTGTTTCAGTGGGGAGTTTGTGTGTGTGTTCGGTTTGTGTCCACAGCTGAAAGACTTTGACCATATAGGGCAGCTGCTCCTCGGTGGACAGGGAGAAATGTCAAAAATGTGCCTCTGGGTTTCTGCAGGATCACACTCTGGGATACTTCACTGCCATTGGGAGATTTCTGCTCTTTTTCACTCTTGTTCTGTAAGCTTGAATTCAAAATTCTGCTATAAAACAGCTGCCAACTAAAAGTACTTTTTTTAAATAGGAGCAGACTCGCTGCTTTTATTCAGCAAAGTTAGGATTTCTGTTTTTCTTGTTGCAGAACTCGACTCACGTTACTGATCTGGTCCTGAGTCTTCTTCAGTCTCTGCAGCTCCGGGGTGTCAGCCACCACGCTGAAACCTTTCCCCTTGTTCTTTTCAAACTCCTCTTTGTAAAAAGCCTGCAAACATATTTGTACAGAAACACATTTCAAACCAGGGCCTGTCCTAGAAAATTTGGCGCCCTGGGCAAGATTTCAGTTGGTTCCCCTTGTGCAGTTTTCTAAACATCACAGTTAATTTACATCCATTCACATCCAAAATTAATAAGCATTCACACTGAGATCATATTTTCTTCCGTACATTTTTCGGTRTCTAACTCGTTCCACGATTTTTGTGCTATTTCAACAACTCATATCAAAACATTCAGCTCATTCAATGAGGGGTGCTATGACTTTTGGCATCTCAACTATTTATACTTTTTAGCAATATCACCWTTTTTAGCMWATTTTTTGCCATTGAAAATAAATGGAGCTGCTTTCAACATCCATTGTTTCTAAATCTTTAAAGAACCTCACACATTTTGTTCTTGTTATGCTCTGTTTCACTTTCTTGGGCTAATTTTAGCTACTTTTTTCAAATTTTACCTTTTTTCAGCTATTTAAGTTAAAATTCTGCTTCTTTCCGCTATTCGTCTGCTTTTTTCTACTTTTTTGTGCTTTTTCCTGCTACTTTGTGCTATTTATGCTAATTTTAGCTAATGTTTAGTTGCTGTTAGCTAAAGTTAGCTTTTCTAAGAYAAATACACAATTTTTGTAGCTACTACAACTTTTTTCAGCTAAGTTCAGCAAACTTGTGCTCGTTATGCTTCCTTATGCTAATTAAATAATTACCAGCTTTTTAAAAGCTGTTTTAATGAACCTTTTGGCTGTTTTAGCTATTTTCCTAAAAACTGGCCCTTTTTTACAGCACTGTCACTATCTAGGTGCTAATTTCAACTTGTGGATGCTATTTTTAGCTAAAAGTAGGCCTATGGTAATTTTAGCTTTGTTTGCTATTTTAGCTGTATTACGATGTAACTGGGCTTCTGCTCTGTAGCTGAAGACATATGGAGCTACAAGGTTTAAACTGCATGACTCGAGGTTTGTATCATTACTTAGATCCATCTGCTCACCCCCACCTCTGACGTAAAAATCAGCTGAAATGTGACATGATTGTTTAGACTGAGGTCGCTTTGACAAACCTTAAATATGTATCTGATTTAGTACCAGGTTCTCAGTAAAAGAAACTCGGTAAGTACTCAATATCTGTACTAAATATTGACAAGTAGTACTCATAATCATACTTGGTTTAAGAAAAAAAACAGGTATGGAAACACCCCTATTTATTTTATTTTTACACACTGAGCACCAGTCTTGAGTGCATCATATGATATGATACTTTTATCCTGAAATATCCTTTGCACCATATGTAAGACTAAAGCAGAACAAGTTACCTTCATGAACCTAAGTAACCAATGATTATTCTACAAAAATCAACTTTACTCKGATAAAAAGTTGTAAMAYATTTATTTTTTCATYCCCCATTTCTGGRTCCCCCAAGAAGGATGGTGCCCWTRGCATTKGCCWATTTGCCTATACTGCCYATGTCACGGCCTGGCCCTGTTTAAATACATATATATTTTCATAAGCAGAGATTCAGTTCTTTGTCTTTTTGGAGATCACAGCATCTACCGAGGGGCTGTACCTGTCACTCCCTGAGTTCAGCGTTAATAAGWGGCAGACAGAAACAGACTGAAACATTAGCCTCAATGGTCACACATTTACACTGTTTTATTCACAAGGTATTACAAGTCAAAATTACCCTTCATTTCCAGTTTTGAAGASAATATTTTAGGCTAAAATATAAATKGATTCTGTAGAGGTTTGGGTGGATTTGTCAGAAAACTGCAAATCTTTAAGRCACTGAATGAAAAAGAACAAAAATGTTTACATTATGATGTATAATTTGTGTAATACTGAAAAGCTGTAAGAAGGGTAAGAAGAAAAATGTTGAAAATTTGTTAGTAAATGCGTACTCTTCAAAGCACTATTATAAAATCAGTTTTTAGTTTGGCCAGGAAATGAGGACAAGAGACATTTCCAAAGCGTATCCTATGAAAGAATGAACACAATAATTTAGCAGCAGAGTGAGTCTCAGCAGCCACGCTGAAACCTTTTCTGTCATCACAGAGAGCCGGAGACCCCGGCTTCAGTGTTTATATCAGCTTGAATTAACGGATGAATTAAAACAACAGAAGGTCTTAATCTAAACAGAAGCAGATTTATTAGAACGTCCACAACATCGGAACCTKTTGTACCCAGTACGAACAATAAACACAGTCGTGTTGTGATTTAAGTGACAATTTATCACCGCTGTCTGTGACTTTAAACTGCGGGGGGGCATTTGCTGCTTTAAACAAAGCCAAAATGTTTATTTGAAAGTAAATCTGAGATACACACACACACACACACACACACACATGCACAAAATGTGAGTCACGTTCCTGCTATGGAGAATATGCTGCTCCACAGAAAGAGACTTTTATGGTTATAAACAAAGACACGGGGAGGCTGGATGGGATGAGGGAGCGAAGCGGCTGTAAATTTCTGTAAATTCGTGATGCTGTCGTTGCAGTCATGCAGCATAAAATTACATTTGGGTATGATTTTATTCAAAAACAGAGCCCCTCTGAAGTTATGTGTGTTATTGCAGCTGGTTGGAGGTTTTCTCCTGTGGACAGGGTTTTGTGGTCACTGGATGGAGAGATGTGTCTGTTTCCCAAAAAGCAGCTGCTTGGAGGAAACCCAACACCCAGAATGACCTCAATACGTCCATTTGTTTGGTCAAACTTGGTGCTGACCAAGTCCTCTATCACGATAATTAAAGATTTAATATTCATTAGAATAATTAATCCAGGCCACAGTTTTAAATTAAACTCATCTTGTGATGAGAAATAATATATAYTTTATAACTATGTAGCTTAAAACTTGTAAATGAATTATGATTTATAGTCMTTTTTGTGTTGACTGTGGCAGCCATCTTAAATCAAGCTGTTCAAAAATAGGTAAGAAATTTTAAAACCTTTTTCTTCTTCACTTGTTGCAGCAAAGTAAGAAGTTCAAAAGTTAAATGACGGAACCATCCTAAGTAAGCTAACCTAGGTAAGCTTAAACTCTGAGGAAACTTTTTAAAACTTGCGTGACTTGGAGGATTTCTCCCTCGGATCAGATTATATAACTGACAGAAACAGCGATTAGATTAGAGYTTAAGAACAGAGAAGCTGAAGCAGAGGGCTCAGATGAGCCGCTGCCAAATAAACCAAATAACCCTCATATCATTTATTGGTATCCTGTTACATAAATCAAGTTTCCTTTGAATGTTTTCTGGTTTACCTTTTTTTTTTTAAATAATCCCTTTGTAGATCGTTAGACAGATCCTCTGATCAGGAAGAGTTTCTGAGGCGCTCACCTGGCTGTTGAGCATGGTCTGTTGTTTGAGACGCAGATTCTCAGGCGTGTCGGTCACGATGGTGAAGGAGGTTTTAGGATAGTGCCTGAACAAACAGAAACGTTTGATCAAAATATACATTACTTTGGTTATTTTTTACTTGTCGTGTGTTTAATAATGTGGTTAATTCCTTCTTGGTTTGTCTCTTTAGTTCTGTTCCTCTGCACCACCAATTCATTTGTCATTTTTTCAGTTATGTTTTTTTTTTTTT